TCGCTGTTTTCGAAAGGCGCTGACGGCCCGCGCGTACCGCGCGACGCCCGGGCTACCCACCAGTGAAAGGCCTATACCACCCTTTCAAAATGACCTACTAATTTTGGTACACTCTCACTTTGATATTTCCCGCGGTGCACACTCAAAGTCCGGAAATCTCACAGACGCGCGCGTTTTGGCCGGCTACCCCATCGGGTCGCACGGAGACACGGGAAGGCTGCCGCAAGCCGCCTCCGGGTGCAGGGGCCCGACGCGGTAGGCGGGGGCAACAGCCCGGTAGCTGGCCGCGCCTCTCCGCCCCGCCCGTCGCCGCTGCACCCCTTGCCGCGGCCCTCGTCGCTGCTGCAGCGACGACAGCCGCGGCACGAGGTCAGAACGCGGCCTCGGAGAGCTCGAGCGAAGGCGCCGACGGTGGCGGCCGTGGTAGTGGTTGATGGTAGAAGGCTCCTGAGCCGTCGGGCACCACGCTCGACGTCGCCGAGGAGCCGCACCCGGCGCGAGCGCCTGCGCGTCGGCGGGTGCCACCGAAGGCGGGTGGGCAGCACCGGGCGGGGCGGCGGAGCTTCTCGAGGCGCGCACGTGCCCCGCGGGTCGTGCGCCGAGGCAGACGGCCGAAGAACCGGTGGAGTATCGCGCCCTCCTTCGCCGTGCCGCGTGTGCGCTGCGCCCGCTCGAGAGGCCGTCGAGAGCAGCGCGGCGCAGCCGATCCGGGCGATGAGCGTGCGCGGAACCGACCGGACCCGTCAATGTCCACTATGCGGGCATGGCCAGGCCGGCGCGGTTTGGTCTGGCGACCTACAGGGCGCGCACCGCGGTTGTGTCAACGCGAGATTCCGCGAGACCGCCTGTCTGACAGGTTATCCACCCACTAGGGTTAAACGAAAAAAAGAAAGAAGCAAACGCCGTCTGGTGGTGATAGCCTCGACAAATGGCGCAGTTTCTCACGGTCCGGCTGCGTCACCCGCGCGGCACCAGCACGATCCAGCTTCCGAGCAGCCACGCCACGTTCGACCTGCTCCTCGAGGCGGTGGCGGAGCAGGTCGGCGGCTGCGCGGCGGGCATCCGTCTCTCGACGGGTTATCCGCCCAAGGTCCTGCGGCTTGGGCCCTCGGACTTGATCGCTGGACACATCAACGACATGGACACGGTGACCTACCTCTACGATGCCGGGATGGCGCAGGCAGCGTCGCAGGCGCCTTTCCAGCCTGCCCCCAAGCAGAAGAGGCTCGCTGAGGCCCGCGCGCGGGCGCAGGCTGAGGCGGCAGCCACGGCCGAGGCCAACGCAAAAGCGGCCGCTGCCAACGCGAGACGGGAGGAGGAGCAGCGGAGGGCGCAAGCGCAGGAGCGGCAGAAGGCCGCGGCCGCCGCCACCGCGGCGCGCGAAGTCGCCGACGCGGTGCTGCGGTCGGCGGTCGAGGGCGGAGCATTGGAGGAGCTGAGGGCGGCGCTCGAGACGCACCAAGAAGCCGCGAGCGCGGACGTGCTGCGGCTCGCGCGCGACACGAGGGAGAGGCTGCGGCGGGCGGCG